CGGATTCAGAAAAGGGATACTTATAGGAAAATAAATTTACAGGATGATAATACTTATAGGACAATAATAATAATACTTATAATAAATTTATGGGATGATAATACTTATAGGACAATAATACTTATAGGTCAATCATAATAATACTTATAGGACAATAATAATCATACTTATAGGTCAATCATAATAATACTTATAGGACAATAAATTTATAGGATAATACTTATAGGGTAATAATAATACTTATAGGACAATAAATTTATAGGATAATACTTATAGGGTAATAATAATACTTATAGGACAATAAATTTATAGGATAATACTTATAGGGTAATAATAATACTTATAGGACAATAATAACAATACTTATAGCACAATAAGAAGCGTGACAGCTTTGCGGAAGGCTTAAGAGTATCCATGACGTACAGGGGATAGGTGAAAGCGGGGTCCGGACGCATATAAGCATTCTGTACCGCACCACACGCATGGGGAAATACCCGTACTTGTGATTGGACATGCTTTCAGATGACATCCTTTTCTCTCGGTATAATGACGTTTAGGCGGGATTCCTACGATTTTTGTTTTCGTTGAATGACACGCATGAGTTGCACGAAAGCGGAAAAATTATCTTTTGTTTCCTTCTGTTTCATAGAATAAGAAAATTATAAAATCTTTCAAAGATGGTGTTGATATCAGAAGCAATCTTAAGCGCTTAGATTTTACAAAAGAGCTGAGTTCACGAATTTAGTGCAAAAACCCAAACACGACGATCTCCATCCAACTGTAAAGGCATTGTGCGCTGGTAAGTAGTATATTATTATTATTGCAATTTTGTTCCATTCTGTTCCTTTCATATTGCAGAAAATATTTCCTTTGCAAATGCTATGTTACTTCCATGTTAATGTCCATATCTTTCACATTTCTTATATTCTCTTGCCTTAAATCTAAGAAAAATGTGCATTCAGTGTTGCCGCTGAATTAAATACACGTGTATAAGAAAGGAAACTTCCTTCTCTGACAAACACTATTTTTCTGAAAAGATCCAAGAAACATTACACATTAAAAAATGGGCAATATTCATAAAATAATATGATTCAATTTAAAATACTTATCTCTATTTCTCTGTTCCAAATCTACTCTATTAGTCTAACTTCAAAAATAAATTTCACTTTTTCAGAATAATTATAAATATTGTGCAGATTGCAACTGCAGAGCATGGTATATAGTGATCATGAAATAAGGAATTAATTATCCCAAAATCTCAAATATGAAGTATTTAAATTAAGAATACCTTTATTAAAAATCTCCGCAATTAATACACATTTAGAGTTAACACATGAAGAAATAATACTTTTTCTCTCTAAGGAAAAAAAAAATGTTAAATTTTGTATATTAAGTTCACTACACTAGTGTTGTAAGGAATGTAATCTCATAGACACAGATATACATCTCACGTAATAATCTTTTCGGTAATGCTATCAAAATGTAAACAAACGGTACCTTCGAGCCCAAGCAAAGTCAAGGCTTTCCTAAGCGTAGAAGAAATGATGTCATCGGAAGCCAAATCCAATCACCAGGGGGAATTTTTTCATATGTGCGTAGCACGGTACAGATAGCTTATATGTGCTCCGGACACCCGGGCGATTTATATAGACCATTTGGGTTTATTCGGAGCCCACGACTGTCCAGGACGAGCAGCTTCTGACTCTCAAAGAGCACCATATCGGGATTTCATTTAGAGATGCTCAAAAGCATATAATGCCAGACAAGGTCTAGATGCTAAGACAAATAAGGGAATAGTATTTGCTGAATGTAGACAGATGGTACTAAACATTACACATTTGAGGCATGGATATTACAGGATGAACATATAATACAGGCAGTTATACTAACAGCTAGTACGTCACTAAGCATCAAATAATAAACTCTAAAATACTAAAACAAACAAAAAGATAAATACTAAACTCTAAAATACTAAAACAAACAAATACTCTGAGGAGTGAGTCAAGCACTAATTATACAAATACTACATGCATGTGATATACTGTAGGTAATGTTCTGGGTTCATAACAAATCCCAAAGACGCATGTTATAAGATACGAATTCCAATGACATTGGTTATGATACACACTGTTGCACGTATGATACACTATATACATGAGTACATGACATTGGCTCCCTCTGTTACTCTAATAAGTCTGTAGTATCTACTTGTTTATCTTTTGGTGTGATAGGAGAAGGGTTAAAAGAACCCTTTATTAAATCTATTTAAAACTCACAGTGCGTCGACTTGACGCTAACAAACTACGCCTCACTCGGATGGTAACTCAAATAACAAGAACTAAATTAAAAATTAAAAGATAAATTCAAAGATAAAGATTAAAAATTCAAACGGAAGAATTATTCTACACGGCTCAGGTAATCCTGTTACCTCAAACGGCGTCGAAGTCTAGTGCCAGCAAAGTAATAGATGTTACGCCACTTTAACCAGCAATAAAAGCAGAACTAGAGGAAGCTCACAGTACAAAGGTACAGAGCTTGCCTACACTCTAACTTTTCGTTTCCGTTTCCGTTTGCCGTTGCCGCCGCGTCTAGCTTGCAAAGCTGCAAGCTGTATACCGGCAATCTTCATTTGATTGCTTCATGTAGGGATGCAGGAACAAATATGCCTAAGTGAGTCCTGGAGACAAGATATAATGCATAAAATACACATTTTTCTCATAAACTGGAAGGTTATGTACACAATATTTACAACCCTTTGCTTTGCATTAAACGAATAATGAGGAAAACCGCAAAAGGGCGAAGATGGCGATCCTCATGAAGAATTTCGTAGCTAAAAATTTCAAAAGTGGTTCATTATATTACATTCTTGTGCTTCCTGATAGAAGCGCTCATTGAGTTTTTAGAGAAACTTCGCCAACGGTTCGATCTTAAAGTTGTCGTGAATCTAACTTTCCCTTCTAGATATTTAAACCTTTTCTCTTCAAGGTAGAATTTGCATTACTTCACGTGCACTACCAAATTTAAATATTCTGGCACTGACAGATAGGGGAATGAAGGTTTATAGGAAAGAACGTAAACTTAAATTTAAGTAGTACTGTGAGGTGAACATATAATATAACGTTTTAGGTAACATAACAGACGACGTTAAAACATTTAAACAGACGTATGTGCATAACACTATTGTAAGCATTGAAACATACAGACCCTATGCGAAGGGCATTTCAAGCATTATTATTGTAGAGATATTAAGATTTTTTTGGAAGCAGGCAAGATGAAAAATGAGCAAACGCCTTCGCTGGGAATCGAATCACGGACCTCTGGAATACCGGGTCAGTGTGCTGACCACTACACCACGAAGGCACGCTAGGAAGGCGTCAGAAATACCTTATATAATCCTCCTTTTAAAGAGTGACTGCGGTTTTAAGGGACCCAATCGCCAAATCCTGGCTGAGGAGAATCATCATCCAACACCCTTTTAGTTCGGACGCCACTGTAAAGACATTAGAATTTTTTTCGGAAGCAGGCAAAATGAAAATGAGCAAACGCATTCGCTGGGAACTGTACCACGGATCTCTGGAATACCGGTTCAGTGTGTTGACTACTACACCACGAAGGCACGCTAGGAAGGCGGGAGAAATATCTTACAGTATGTGGTGAATATATACTACAACTCTAATAAGGCGAAACTAAAAGATGTAAGCATTCATGATGTATACGATGAAAGCCGCGAAATCACCATCTTTTTTAAGACGATTCAAGCTCCGATCATCTTACTAATGAGCAGCAATCTTAAACGAAAATTTTCTATTAAAAGCAATAATTTGTAAATAACTAAACTAATAGCGAAAAGTACAATGAATTAAGGCAGGGATATTCGAATTTTATAGCAGTGCGACAACCTAAAATGCATAACGCCCCAGAAAACAATTTCGCGACCCCAATCAGAGCGTCTAACCTTTAATTGCATATTACATCAGTTCAGATTTTTAAGGATTTTTATTCCCACTATAAATTTTCGATAACTCGATCGGGTGGCGATCGACAGTTTAAATACTAGTGGATTAGAGGAAGCAGAATTTGGAACTATGAAAGAAAAGTAAAATAAAGCCTTCTTTCAAATGTTAAAATTTGCCGGGAATTGTAAAAGTAAACCAAAAAAGGTTTTCGATGCGATAAGAAGCTGCACTTCTAAAGCTAAATTTATTTTGTAAAAGATTTCGATAATGTAATATTGTAGTTGTAAATATTGTGTACATAACCTTCCAGTTTATGAGAAAAATGTGTATTTTATGCATTATATCTTGTCTCCAGGACTCACTTAGGCATATTTGTCCCTGCATCGCTACATGAAGCAATCAAATGAAGATAGCCGGTATACAGCTTGCAGCTTTGCAAGCTCGAATTTATTTTGTAAAAGAAACGAAGATAATTTGATGAGTTGAAAATAACTTGAATAACATTTAGGATAGAAATTTTGTCATTTAAAATGATAACTAAATCCTCTTGACTACCTATAAAGCTGCACGCAGAGCCTCATCAGCCGGAACGCGACTAAAATATTACTTCCTTACTCAACAATCACAATAAAATGATACTATGCAATTTAAATGCTTTGGTCTGCTCTTGAAAGTTTCACTTACTGACTTGTCACATAATGCTACTGGCATACGGCCTAAGCCCGGATATGAGATTTTCATATATCGCCATAGAAATGATATACATATTTATTGACCCAATTTATGACGTTTCAATTGTTGGGCCAATCTTATTACTTGTTACATGGCAAAGAATACGCCAAAGTAACTAATGTTTGCTAATTCAAATTTATTGCAGACTGCCGATTAGTTTTAATACTTTCATTGTTAAATAGATTCTTCTAAGCATTTCTAATCTAAGCATTTTGTTCTGATTTGAGCATTTTGAGGTAACTCATGAGGTAACTAACAGCGTTTTTTCAGAAACAATAAAATATGGCGGTAGAAGGCAAAATATGTTCTTACCTGCAGCAGTTCTTGTAGTGTGGTCGGTGGAAGGCGTTTTGCCGAGTTGTGTGGCCTTGCCGGTTTCGATACCCCACGCAGCACGACCATCTTGCTCCAAGTTCCAGTGCGCACGGGGCACCTTCGAAGTTACAGCGGGCAGGGTACGCCTGACACACGAAATCCTTTTCATCGCTGAAATCACCGCAGTCATCATTGTAATCGCAACGCAAATTCTCTTCAATGCATTTCTTATTGGCGCACATGAAGTATCCATCGGGGCAGATTTCTTTCTCTAAGTCTACTGTAAGTGGTGGAGCGCATTCCTGAAATCGAATGTCGTCCAAGCTGACAGCGCTGATGTAACTGTAGGGGCGAACAGTATCAAATCGCACTCGATAATCTGTTAATGCGCTGATATGAGCTTTGGCATGCATCCAGTTCTTGCTGTAGCTTTCTGTTGGGAAAAGATTAAAGACATTAGACATCATAGAATACATAACACCTCGCTCTTTGTTTCAAAAGTAAAATATGTTAGATGTTAACTTGAAACGATCCCGCTCTGTGGCAGAAAATGCATGTGGGATCGAAGCCGTCGGACTCGGAGCAAGCTTTTAATCCAATCGCTGTAGTATTCGGCTACACCGGATGGACTAGACTAGTGGTGTCCAACCGGTGGCAAGGCGCCCGCGAGCCACAATATCACCATGAGACAAAACCTTTGATCTTAGCGTAAAAAACATCCATAAAAAGATATTACTACACGTCACATACAAGGGCGTTGTTCACCGACTCGCGTATTATCATCTTCATTCTGTCCCATTTCCAGCGTTTAATCCCCACGGCGGATCAGGATTAGAGTGCTTGCTTCAACCAAGCCCTGTTCACTGCTGGCCCCGCTGCACATGTGCGCAAAGGATGAATCATTTATCCGGTTATGCTGTCGACAGCTGCAGGTCATCAGTTTCGTTGAAATATGTAAATACATGTTTGGTGGAGGCTACCAAATTGTGCTGCTTCTGGCAAGTTTTGAAATAATACATTAATTATTTCGTATATTTGTGGCGTCCTTGCCAATATGAGTGACGTGTCAGAGCCAGTGAAGGCAAAGAAAACCTACCACTTCAACAACCAAACGGGAGGAAGAATTGTTATTTACAACTGTAGAGGAAAAGTAGTTTGTTTATTATGCAATGCTTCAATAGCAGTGTACCAAAGAGATCGAATGTTGGGCGCCATCGTATAACCGTTCCTAAGGATTTTAACGGTATATATCCGCTCAGGTCTGCTTTATGTAGGCATAAAATTCAATCATTGAAATCTCCTTTAAAAGCTCAACAAAGCAGTCTTTTTACCCTAAAAAGTGAAGAATCACACAAAAGCGTCTTTCAAAGTAAGTTATGTTCTTGTATCGTATAAAAGGATATACTTAGACGGGGTATTGTGAAGGAAGTTATGCAGGAAATGTTAAATCTTTATTTTAAGAATTTAAAATCAAAAATGAAATCATGTTAGCTACAAAAGTTTTGCTTTAGCCACAAAATACGGTAGCATGATGATTGGACGGTTTGCTAAGAAATTCTGCCTACAAATTTAGATTTGATTTGGAAAAAGTAAGCGTATTATCTTCTGCCAGTGTGATGAATCTACTGATGTTGCTAACTTGTAGAGACATTTGGTAATTTTTGGAAGCCGAAGAGATGAAAAATTAGCAACCGCCTTCACCGGAAATCGAACCGGCTCTGGAGTACCGGCAGAACCACTACACCATGAAGTCACGCTAAGAAAGTGGGAGAAATACCTTATAAACTCACCACAACGAACCAATCACAAGTGATAAGTGACGGAGGACGTGGACACTGTCCCTTTACCTTAATGGTTAACCAGTACAGCACCAAGTCCGCCATTATCCAGAGCCGCCGATGGTGTTCGCTGCCGTTCAACTGCCCGGGTCCCAGTGTTTGTTGATATATAATAAGAATAGCACCACCAGAACCAATCACAACCGACTGTGAGCCGGTTATGATCGGGGTTTATTGGGTAATATAACAAGATGATACATTTTCCAAATCTAACTCATACCACCGGCGCTATTCATCATGAGGCTCGACCTCAATTACCTAATGACTATTATTATAGACATTATAAATTTTATCGGAGGGCGGACTTTGAATTATCGACTTTTTATAGCTTTGTTTGATAAGCTAGATGAAGAGTGTGGCGACATAATTTACCTTGCAGTGGTTGAATCGAAGAAAAATGTTAACAGGATTTGTTGAAATGTTGTCAAAGATTAAAACTTTTCTCATATCCAAAGGCAATTATGACCAAGAATTGAATAGAGTGGCTTTTTAGCTTGTCACTGCTAAACTCAAAGACCTAAATACCACGCTACAATGAAAAGAAAAACACGTATCGGAAATGATGAGCTCAATACTTGCTTTTCTAGCTAAAATCGATTTGCAGAAGGACAACTTATTGGAGAAAGACTGTCAACATTTTCCTTCATTTTCTACCCTCTTTCTAGATTCGGAAATAACTCTGGAATAGGATCCATCTAAGCATTTTGAAACCTTTTCTTACTTAGCTCAGAATTTAAAAAGAGGATTCCAAGACAAGTTTTTCTATGAAGCCGATTTCATTGTTCACAAAAAATCCTTTCTTGGAACTAAACATGACATATGTGACTCCGTGAATGCAAAAACTGTGTTTTAGTAGCAAATCGGAAGCTGAATTAGAGATTATTATTTTTCGTATTAATATAACACTCAAAAGCGCAAAACACAAAGAACATTTCAAACTGAAGGAATCTATTAAATACAAAAACATACTTAGGTGTGCAATAAAACGGTTGCATTTTGTGCGCACATAATTAGAGATTAGGCTTCTGCACAACTGAAACTAATGAAAAGCAAGCACAAAATTACGTTGACTCCAGCATGTGAAAAACAACTTGGTGCTGGCATGTTGTGTAACAGAATATACACCAAATTTTAACAAGTTGTCAGAGAATATTAATAATCAATTCCTCGAAGTTGATGACTTAATACAGTATTTGGCAAAGATATATTTGACATTTTAACTATGTAAGAGTTGCATTTTCTTGTACCAGTAATTAGATTATTGGTATGTGCTTTTCTATATTTTTTAACATTGTTACGAATTTTGTAATTAGATAAGTAATTTTAATAGAATTATAAATAAAATTGTTGTATTTCTTTTGTAACATGAAAAATCTAAAAAGAAGCTATGCCGGAAAAGTAAGAAGACAGGAACAAGTGCATTTAATGAGTACTGTTTTAACGACTTATTTTGTCGCCAAATTTGGCGACCATTTGGCTACATTTTGATCCGGTCCCTGTATCACCCTGTTCTGTTCTGCACTGTATCCAGTCTCTATCCTGTACTGAAATTGAATAAATGTAATTGCCTACTATGTTAGCTGTAACCATAATTCCACCCTCCTATTGCTTTTCAACAATCTCGAGAAGAAGAAAGTACTAGAAATATCTCGGCGACCGGTTGAAGGCCGAAGAAAGAGTATCTGCTCTCAGTTGCTTAGTTATTGTAGTTGCGAGTTTTTAGTTCCGCGTGAACTGAGCTATCCGAGTTAGCCTTCTCTTTAGATGCGTTTTGCATTGCATTGTGTTTAATGTTCTTAGTAGTGATGCGTAACTACTGATTGTAGTCTGTGATACTGTGAACTCTTATACGAGTATTTCTTTGGAAAATTCCGGAAATTTTAAGAGTTTACTTTCATAAAATAAATTTTTATTAAGCTATCACCGGACCTGTGTGCATTCAATTTACTACGATTTCGCACACACACAACAATATGAAGTAAAATTAATTTGAACCTCTGCTATATTTGCGTTTTATTAGTGTATTTTCTTCAGTTTTTTGCAGGTTCATTATTAATTTTCCTTATTATTTTTAAACACACAAAAATCATCCGTAAAATCACATATTTTTATTAAATTGCTACTTTCCGAACGTAAAACAACGGGTTTCCGCGAGGAACGGCAGAAATTTGATGAAAGTAGCTTTTCATTTAAACCTGATTGGACACCTGTTGGACTAGACTTGCCTGTAGCCACTCGCCTGTAAACCCAAAGATATATCATTCCATATTTAAACAGACGAAAACACTGCGCTTTCAAGGTTTATCGATACATTTCACCCACTACCAGAGTTTTTGTTTTTTCTCCAGTGACGGGTACTAGCCATTACAGGCGTTCTGGACTATTAAGGACGGAAACAGTCATCACTTTATTATAGAGGCACATAATAGGTGGGAATTCGTTGCCTCTTATGAAGGGACAGATAATTTACATCTATGCCTTCTACGGGATTCCAACCCGGGCCCTTCGGTACAGCAGTCAAGTCACTAATGAAACTATCCCGGTTGGACGACGATATAAAGATATGATTAAGATAAATGATATAAAGATATGACGATGAAAGATATGATGTATTGTAAAGTTTTAGTAAACTTGCATATAAATATAACTAAGAAATTTAGTTTATAGAAAAATCAGGATTTTTTCTGATGCAGAAGACCTGAAAAATAAGCAATGCTCTCGTCGGGACTCTAACGTGAACCTCTCGAATACGCGCCGAGTGTGCTACCGTTGCACCCCGAAGGCATGCGGAAAGGAGGGAGAAAATACCTTATATACTCCCCCTTTTAAAGGGCGACTGGGTATTAGGAAACACAATCGCCAAATGCTGGTGTGAAGAATTGTCATTCACCACCTTTTAGTTCGGACGCCATTGTAGATTCTTTACATTATTTTTGATGCTGAAGATATGAAATATGTGCAATGCCCTCGCCGGGATTCGAACCTGGACCTCTCGAATAAGTGCCGAGTGTACTGCCGTTATACCACGAAGGCATGCAGAAAAGAGGAACAGAATATCTCACAAGTTCTTTATAAATAATTTGAAGATGTAAATGATAAACTGGCTTATTTTCAAGGGGCTGATCTTCCTTTCAATCTAAAAGATTCCTTTTTTAATCAGAGAAATTAAAGTCAACCCACAGGATTACTTTTAACATACAGAATTCAATTTCAAATTGAAGAACCTGCAGCAGTATCATATGCGCAAATGTACCGGCATACAATGTAAATGATTAATTTAAAAGTAACTCACAACTATTTTAATAATTATAAATGTTTCTTTTGCATATTATTGTATTATCTTTTCGTGGCTAAAGTTTTCATAGTGATTTCTTTTTAGAATCCAATTTTTTGTTTTTAAAAAATTTAGTTTGATTTAGAGCTCAAAGTTGTTAGTTGATTAGTTTAGTTTTGATTTAGAGTTAAAAAATAAATAATTTGGTTATTAGCATGGCAGTGTCGTTTGTAGTTCAGTAAAACACCGTTAAGGCAGTGAATCTTTATCTTATAGAACCAATAAACTCATTTTCAATCTACAACAGTGGTCTCGAACTAGCTGTCTCCAGAAGCAATTATACTCGGCAGACGAATACATTTCTCGTAAATTAATTAACATTATTGTCCCAAATGGGCGTTAACCCAGAAGGGTGATTAATTTCGTTTTGGCATTTTGCCAACTACATTTCAAACTGACGCCACCATATAGGAGCCCTGAATTATGTATATTTAAAGAAATTAAATAATGAAGAACCTGCAGGTATGTGTGAATGTTTCTCTCAGTGTGAAAAAACAACGGTACCTAGAGACATCAAATTTTCAACAACCTAGTCCTACACTTGAATATGGGCTCCCTTACAAATTCTTTGCTTTTCGCCTTCTTTTTCTCTAACTCCATTGCCCCTTCACATCGGGGTTCAGTCAAGTTCTCTCATCCCCGGACCCATTGCGGACTTAGTTCAGTTCTAAAGGCATGTACTACAAAAGCAGTAGAAGCTCTATATAACAACATCTGGTATCAAAGTATCGGTGAGACAAAGACGCTCAGTTGCCTTTTGGCTCTAATGGCAAGAATGAATGGCAGTTGCAGGTCTTCAATCTTCAAAAAGGTGAACTTATAGTTTTAATTTTTTAGCAATGAAAATTGGAAAACATTTAAGCAATGCAGGCAAGAAAACGTAATAAAAGGTAACTGTTAGCAAAGAAAAACATTTTAAATTTAATTTAGAAACAACCGATTTGTTAAGAAAACTCATTTTCTTTGGGAGGTTGGGGAGAACTCGGCCAACCAGCTACCTTCAGATCATTCATTAGACCCTCATTGATACATTTACACAAAATTTGAGTTTCAGACCACTGATCTACAGAACTTATTCTCAATCAGAACTCGGCCAGCCAGCTGCCTTCAAATCATGCATTCGGTCCTCATTGATACATTTATATACAATTTAAGACCACTGATCTACAGAACTTATTCTCAACCAGAACTCGGCTAGCCAGCTGCCTTCAAATCATGAATTCGGTCCTCATTGATACATTTATATACAATTTAATACCACTGATCTACAGAACTTATTCTCAACCAGAACTCGGCCAGCCAGCTGCCTTCAAATCATGCATTCGGTCATCATTGATACATTTATATACAATTTGAGTTTAAGACCACTAATCTACAGAACTTATTCTCAACCAGAACTCGGTCATCCAGCTGCCTCAGATCATGCATTCGACCCTTATTGATGCATTTATATACAATTTGAGTTTAAGACCACTGATCTACAGAACTTATTCTCAACCAGAACTCGGTCATCCAGCTGCCTTCAAATCATGCATTCGGTCATCATTGATACATTTACATACAATTTGAGTTAAAGAACACTTCTACAGAACTTATTCTGAACTTATACAAGTGTATTTCAATCAAGATTTACACTATCCTATACTTACTTCCATACATAGCTGTTTCTGCTTTCCATATAGGTTTTAGATTTGTGCCATCTTTGCCAGCGTAAAGATTTAACGAGCATGACCACATTCCACAGTAAATCCAGAAATCGAGAGCACAGTGGGAATGCGTAGCAGAAATCTTGGGAGTTACAAGCGACGTAACATCTCCTTGCCGTCCCGGTGCAGCATCTGCCAGCATGTACCATCCATCAGTTGAGTTGGTAGAATGGTCAACATTGGGTCGATAGTTTAGATTGACCTGCCAGAGTAATTCACCAGTTTAAGAATAGTGTGGTCGTAAATATTATTTTAATTCTCTCGGATACAGTAATAGCTGATACAGTAATTAATCTAAAAAATATTAAATAATTTGAATTTAAAATTTTCGATTTTTAGATATTCTGAATTTCGATTATCCGAATCGCTTATTTACTTTCTGGGCGAAGAAAAATCAGTTTGTTATCAATTTATTTACTTGGTTTCTAATTTTTTTACTGAATATAATACTATTACAAAAGGATCAATAAACTACTTATTTATTAAAAAGCTGTCTAGCAATTTAGATGACGCTATATAAGAAAAGAACTGGTATACAACACTTAGCAAATATACAACATATAATTATTAATGAGAAAGCAGTTTTTCTTTCGATTACTTAATTTTACTTAATTGTATACCTTGAACATACACACACACACACACAAAAACAAAAAAAAAAAAAAAAAAAAAAAAAAAAAAAAAAGAAAGTGACAGTTCTATATCTCCCGTTCTACTGAGCCGACTAACGAAATTCAACTTGAGTTTTTATGTCTCGAAATCGCAACTTAGGATATTTATGAGATATATATACATAATCTTAGAGGAAAAAAAAAAAAAAAAAAAAAAAATGGGACAGTCCTATATTATCCGATCTAGTGGGCCGATTGACAAAATTCAAATTGCGTTCTTCATGTCTCGAAAGCGCGACTTAGGATATATATTAGATTTATATATAGCACTATTCTAACATAGGTATTTTGACACAAAATCGGACTTTTTCTGAAATAACATACCAATTGTTTTACATATTTCGATTCTACGACTCAAATTACGCCTAAATATGAAATTTTGTAAAATTTGGAGCGAAATTTACGGAGAAATTCACAAATTTATGTTGGCACTTTTTTGTCAGTTTGCGCCAAGAATACTTTACTTGGCGAACTTCTTAATATATGGCAACCTAGTTTCCTTTCCCGTGAGTGGAAAAAAAGTCACCATCGTTCCTTTTTTCCAAATAATATTCTTTATATTATATTTTTAATTATAACTTATTATTTTAAGTAATTTTTTGTTTTTCGAATTTCATTTTAATTGTTTAAGTTGCATGGTTTTTTTCGAATAACTGTTTTAAAAATTTCTACTTACCTATTCGAACTGCGTAAATAAAGGTGCAGCGTTTATTTTTTTTCAAATAGTTTTCTTTATATATATTTTTTTTCATAGTTATTATTTTAGGTAATTTTTAAATTCTTAACTTTTATTTTAATTGTTTGTGTTTGCATTGTCTTTTCAGATAATTGTTTTAAAATTTTCTATTTATTCCTTCGAATTGAGCATTTTAAATATATTTATTAATATAAATTTTCCAGAATTTGATTTATTTATTTGAATTGCGTTTCTTTCGGAGGAATACTTTGGTAACTCAGACTACGATGCGTTTGAAAACTGCATATATTAAAAGAGAAAATACAGTAAAGCACAGTTAACACGCCTTTCAGTGTTACTTCAGAAAAGATATATATAAATAAGAGAGACATTTAACTTAGGATTGCGACATTTTAAACTTAGGATGACTTGCATACACTGCTTTAAACAGTTTTATCATTATGCCCATTGCTTTACACAATTTTATCCTACATTTGGCTTCTTAAATGTTATTCATATTTTAGTCAAATATTTTATTTTTGAAATCGTAAGAATCAAATATCATAAGATTAAAAAGTTTTAAATTAAAAAAAAATACAAATACTAAATTTTACCATAAAATTTATTTTTTCTTCTCTTTTTCTCCAGGCATTCTACTTCATTCTTGCTCTTTTTCTTTAGGCATTCCCCAAGTATATTAAAAAGCATCCAAATTTTCGAAATATCTTGATATTTCTGACAATCATTTTAAATAAAGTTATCGCCTTCCATTTCATAAAGGCTCACAAACGGCCGAGCGGTAAAGTCGCTGAACACTGATAGTTCACTCCGGAGTTCAAATCCCGGTAAACGGGCTGGTTGCATGGGCGTTTTCGTGGTTTTCCCCATGTGTAACGTGTATACGAGCCAGTTTACCTTAGAAAGTCCTCCACGAAGACATCCCTCCCTTTAGGCAGATAGCCCTCGTGTGCTTTGCCATAATTAAATAATCCAATCCAATCCTTAATTAAATATAATTGATTTGTAACTTCTACTAGAGCTGACGGTAAAAATTGAAGTGCAAATAAATAATATCGTGTGCAGTCTTGATTAATATAAAATTAAAAATTTTGCATAGAAAAATATTTACATTCAGACAGAAAGTTTTTTGAAATATTTGCAAATACTTTATAAGAAGGATTTATTAATAACCGTAATAATTATTATATTATTGATGATTAGGATTCAGTTCTTGACAATTACATTCTAAATTAGAATTTCAAGGATATAATGAAAATACGCTACGCACAAAAATACATTTTAGGATAAAAAATGAGTTGATTTTTTATGTTTTAAAACTTCTTAAATTCATTTAATAAACATCGTATCCTCGTTGTTAATTGAATCCAGAATGTTGTGTGTCGTTTATATAATTATTCTTACTTGTCCACAGAAGCTGCTGACTTATCCAGCCATTAAGTAGCTGCAGATCATTTCTACATAACCATTGAACTTCCACTAATTCAGTCTCTAGAGGGTTGTATGTTTATATCATAGTTTGACTTATATAAATGATTATTCTAAATCTTATGTTTCTATAAAAATATACTGTGCTTTAAAAATATGGATGATAGTATCTGTCGCTCTTTCAGCCACTTCAAAAGCAACAGTTTGTTTAGAAATAAATTATGCAGTTAATATCATAAAATATTTTCATAAAATTCAAATAAACATTAAACGAAAATTCTCAGTTTTAGACAATTCGATTTAAACGAAGTAAAGTAGCAGACGATAAAACGCCGAAGGTAAAAATTTACTCTTAGAAAAATGTACTCTTATTTTTTTAAAAAAAAGGAAGAAAGAGAGAAAAACGTTAAAATTTGAATAATATCATCTATAATTTAAAAAAAAGCTTTTCATATAGTATTAATAAATATTTATTACGCCTTATTGAGGGAAAAAAATTTCATATAATTAATTCTCCGTAAAATTTTACTTGAAATTTAATGTTAAAAATAGCTGTGGCAATTCAGTGCAACAAAACTCCATAGACCACATTTGGCGTTATTATCGCTCAAAAAAAAAGATGCCAAATTTCAAAACGCGAAAATATGTAAATTCCTGTATATCTTAGAAAATTTTGAATAAAAAAGTCTAATTTTTTGCAGATATGCTTAAAAATACACCTACTTTATGATGATGGTAAAAATTTTATAGGTTATAATCCAAAATCTTTTTCGAAAAATTTATAAAAATTATTTAAAAATAGAAATTTAAAAAATAAAACACAAAAAATGGGTAAATTTTATTTGGAATGAACCTAAATTTTGAAATGTGAGAGAAAAAATCAAAAAAGTTTAATAAAAAAAGAGATATTAATAAATATTTGCCAAATTCAATTAACATTGAGGAGCTAAAATTTTGAGAGCTAATATTTTAAAAACTAGTCGTACGATTTTTACAAAACTTGGTATTCTGGCATAATTTGAGTCGAAGAATCAAAATATGGAAAAAAATTGTTATGTTATTTCAGAAAAAGTCCCAATTTGTGTCAAAATACCTATGTTAGAATAGTGCTATATATAAATCTAATATATATCCTAAGTCGCGCTTTCGAGACATGAAAAACGCAGTTTGAATTTTGTCAATCGGTCCAGTAGAACAGGAGATATAGCACTGTCTCTTTTTTTTTTTTTTTTTTTTTTGAGCAGTGTACATGCACACAAAAACAAATGATTACAGTTCGAGAAAAATTGGATGATTTATTGAAGTGACAGATTTTCACAAATTGAAAAAGTCAGTAACGCGTTTGTCCACCTCAGGCTCTTATGCAAGCAGTTATTCGGCTTGGCATCGATTGATAGAGGTTGCGGATGACCTCGTGAGGGATATCGTGCCAAATACTGTCCAACTGGCGCGTTAGATCGTAAACATCCCAAGCTGGTTGGAAGGCCCTGCCCATAAAAGCCCTCTTTCTGTGAGCCGTCTATGAATAGTCCTTGCGGTCACTGAAGCACTAGTTTCACGTGCAGTCGATGATAATGATGCATCTAAGGCTGCGAATGCGGCTCTGACGATTGCTCGGTCTTACAAAACATTAAAATTGTTTTAAAAAAAATTATAAAAATTACTAAAAAATACAAATTAAAAAATTCAGAAAATGGCTGAGAATTTTGTTTGTTCTGAACATAAATTTCGAACTGAGAAAAAAAAGGAATCAGGGAAGGTTAATAAAAAAGGAGATATTAATGAATATACAGCAAACTCAATTAACATTGAAGACATTGGATATGGAAAAAATTTGGCATGTCCATTTCAGAAAACGTACGCTTTTGTGTCAAAATACTTATATTAGAACAATGCTATATATAAATCTAATATATATATACCAAGTCGCGCTTTCGAGACATAAAATTTGCAATTTAAATTTCCTCAGACGATCCAATAGAGCGGAAGATGTAGAACTCTTCCTTTTTTACGCAGAGTGTATATAAGCTTAATTATTTAAAGATCCTATGGTAATAAATATTCTAAAGATTCGTACCTCCTTATTGATCTCCTTCCAATGTTTGTTAGAATTTTCGAAAGAGAAATTCTTGAGCAACTTAAGCATCACTCCCGTCACCTAAGTACATTAAAATTGCCAAACGGTTTAGTTTTAGAAACCAACATTCCATAATATACGGGCTAGACGCAATTATTCAGTAAATTGCTACCATTAATGAGAGTAGTTTACATTCTGCAATCGTTTTACCTGATGCGAAGAAAGCATTCGTTTCATTATGGTAGTTATACATCTTAAAAGCACTAAGTCTAACCCTGTTCAGTCAAATCTTTCATTACCCCTCTTACTTCATAACGTAAAATAATAAAATT